GAGACTTGCTTGAGCCCAGGAGTTGGAGGTTGCTGTGAGCTGTGATGCCATTGCACTCTATGCAGGGGGACAGCTTGAGGCTCTGTCTCAAAAAAAAGAATAAATAAAAATCAATAGGAGAAAAATAATCATAGAAATAAAATGGAAGGGTAAATAAACATTAATTAAAAATGCTTTTTATCTGCATTTATTATAAATACAAATCTAGATATTTCAGCTTATTATTGAAAAAGGTCCATGGAAAATAAACTTTTTCCACAAGTGAGTAGCACATTCAAAAAGAATCACAGAAACTCAGACACTAAATATAACTCAATTTTTCAAAGATCTCATCCAGGGAAAGAAAAGGATGCTGAAATAGTGTGAGTTGGGGGAAAATAATAACTTTCCACTTTGCAAAAACATAAAGACATCCACATAGAGACCCTTAGGAAAATAGAAATTTCAGAAAATAATATATTCATACAAGATTATGAATCATCAAAATCTTAATCATCTAATGTGTACAGCATAACTTTTGAAAATATCCAACTTCTGGCTATGCTAATGACTACAGTCTTTTAGTTATGGAAATATTTCCCAATTTAAAGATAATATTTTAATTATAATATTGAAACTATGGTCTTTGAAAAAGAAATTTAGCTATCTAAAGAATCATAATGATGACAGCATTGTCCGTCTAACATAGCCCCCTAGCCCAGTGAAATTCCTACGAGATGCAAATCAGTGTGGTTCATAAAAGAATGAATTAATTAGAGAGAATTCACCATATTAGTTCAACAAATGAAGCCTCTTAAAATATAAAATTTTGTCTGAAATAACAGTGATCGGTATATCTGGAACAGATAAAATGTGGAGTTTTTCAACATATGTATTTTAAAGTGTAAAATCATAAATTAAGAATAAATCATGTTAAATTACTGTTATTTAAAAACGCCACTACTACCATTGCTATGAGTATAGCATAATGACATTTACATATACATATAATAGTCTAACAGATTCAACACTGACTCTGAAAATGGGCCTTTGAGATCAGGAGACATGAAATCCATGAACAAATTTGATACAAAAAATGCATAAAAATTTGTGCATTTTTTTTTTTTTTGGTACTTGGTTTTCATTTTTTTAAATCTGTTCAATACTTTTCCAAACAGACTCTATCTCTCTTTAACTGAAATCTCTTTTGGATGCAGCTGGAGATAAATCAGAGCTGTTGATTAGTGTTGATTGGACATTCTGTACCTACATGAGAATATTCATCACCTTAGACCATGGTCCACTTATTAACATCTGTAGCCAGGCGCTGCCTCTGTCTAGAGGAGGAAAATGTCTTTAATCTCTCCAAGGGACTTTGCAAATTACCAGTAGCCCAGGAAAGAAGTACCATTATACCAACAGTCCAGGTCAAGTCTCAGAAAATCTCTAGTCCCTGATTTCCCTATAACTAGGACAGGCAACTTACATTTCAGATAAGAGCAATGTGCAAAAATAATGCAATATTGACATCTGCCAAGGGAGTGGTTCTTTCAACAAAAAAGTTTACATTAATTTTAGGAAAATACACACTAAGTATATCTAAATCCATAGTCTCATTGAATTGACCTAGGTAGTCACTGTAGGTGAAGTTTCCCGCCATCAATACATTCTACAAGATTATACACAAAAATGGGTTAAATGTTATAAAGTGGTTTATCATATTGGAATAAGAAAATGAATTATTTAAATGTTCAAATAAGCATAATTTCTGTGATTGTGCTGAGTTTTATATTGGCAACTTTCAAAGTATTAATTACTTTCATTACATCACGTTGGTGACCACACTGAATTCGGTGTTTGATACAGGAAAGAACTCTCTTCTCCCTTAAAACTGGGCATTCCTTAGCATGATAAAGACAAATAATAATAATAATTAGCAGGGAAGTAGTATAATCAGTCTTAGGAGTAACAACAGTAGTAGGAACAGCAGTAACAATAAAAATAAAATTGAACAAACCTGGAAACAACTGTTTTGTTGGGGCACTGACTTGTGCTTGCTTTGAGACTCTGTAAGCAGCATCTGAACCTTTAGAATTCTTTCTGTTTGTGCAAAATCCTGTTGTTTTTGATATTCCCTCTGGAGAATTGTGAAAATCTAATGCTTTTAGTACATCAACTGGAGCAGCTGAAAAACAGGTAAAAAATAAGAAAAATGTAATTGAACAAATAAACAAATGTAAAAATGAGTCTTTTTAACACAGGAAACAGTATGTAATTCTGTCCCTCAAGTTTATTTGTCTCTCGGCTTTCTTCTCTAACACTGGGGGAGGGGCTGGCGAGCCTGGGCAGCAGGGAGTAACAGAAACCACAACAATGTTCCCAAATAAAAAGTATCTAAAATCTGGAATCAAATATAAGGGTAAGCAAGACAGAAGGTATCTGTTGTGTGTGCATGGGTGGGTCGACAGGCATATTTGGTCTTTAATATGACCTATACATGAATTTACAAACATTCCGATGTTTTTCAAGTATAATTTGTAGAATTTTAATAATTCCAGGGTATAAAGTTACTTGGAATTAAAGGGAAAACCCTCATCTATAAATAATTCCATTATTTTCTAATAAAATTACTATTTAGCTATGCATAATATAGACAAAGGTGACTTTGAAGGCTCAAATTGACAATAAATATTATACACAGCTATTATAAAATAGGCAGTTACTGTGCCATTCTTTAAACAAAAGAGAAGTCGAAAGAAACATGTCCAAAAATATTAGGCAGCACAACATAATGCCTTGTGCTGAGGGCTTTCTCACAAAGTATTATACTCATATTACTTATTCACAAAGTATTTACAGGTTATGATACATATGTAAAGGCATAAAGTAACTGGCAAATTAAAAAACTAGCAATCAACAAATTATACATAGATACATATGTATACATATATGTATCTATATAAGCATATCTATACATGCATACATATATATATCTATGCATAATTTGTTGATTGCTAGTTTTATTAATTTGCCAGTTACTTCACGGGACATTCCTACATGTGTCATGATTTACTCTGAAAGTCCCTGGAGATGAGTAATTGTGCCCCTCCCCTTTTATCTAACAAAGGCCTATTTTTTTGGTGGAAGCACAAATTTCCCAATTCCTTTCATTCCAGCTGCTTCCAGCTACTGTGACGTGCTCCATATAAAATAAAGTTAGAACTCTAGATCTTTTCTTTTAAATATGACCTATTTGGATAAAATGCTTAGGATACAATTCACAGACCATAGAAATTACCCATTAAAACGGTGTAATTCAAAGGTTTTTGGTATATTACACTATTAATTGTCTCACCTGTGGCAAATAAATATAACATAAAATTGGCCATTCTGAGCATTTTTAAGTGTACAATTCATTAATTACTCTCACAATGTTGTACAATCATCACTATTTCCAAAACTTTTTCAGCAACCCAAACAGAAACTTAGTAACCATTATACAGTAACTTCCCCTGGCCCCTCCCTCTTAGTTCCTGGCGACCGCTATAAAATTGCCCATTCTACAAATTTCATTTAAATGAAATCGTATGGAAGTGCCCTATGACCCAGCAATTCCATTCCTATGTACATACCCAAAATAATCGAAACTGGTATTTGAGCACACCGTTGCACACTTTTGCTCACTGAAGTCATATTCACAATAGCCGAAATGTGGAACAACCCAAGTCCCATCAACAGATGAATGGATCAACCAAAATGCGGTACATAAGACGTAATATCATTCAGTGATGAAAAGGAAAGATGTCCTGTTCTGACAAGTTCCTACGGCACACTTCTGCTTCCAAAAACATCACAAAACTTCAAATTCAGACCCCCAAACCCTTCTTATCTTAAATGCTGTACTAAATGTGAGTTACGTAGACATTTAAGAAAGATCAATAAAAAGCAAGATAATTATTTACTCAATTTTGGGTGAATCTGTGAGGAACACAGCCATAGTGGTGGCGGGCACATCAATGAATGAGTTATTTGCAAAGTAAAAATTCTAAGGGGCCCCTTCTATCACCAGGCAGTTCAAAAACAATCACAAATATGGTGGCTCACTAAGGGCTTTCTTCAGACATCCATTCCATTATTTTCAAGCATTTGGATGATTATTGAAGAGTTTATGAATTTTTACTCATTCACTCTCCAACCTGCTTATTCCAGTGCAAGGTCACGAGTGGCTGGAGCCTGTCCAGGCAGCTCAGAATGTGAGGTGGGCACCACCCTGGCAAGCAGGTACACCATCGCAGGGTGTACTCACACACACCCACACTCATTTCTTGGTACCCTGGAGGCCAATTTATCTCACTTTCAAGAGGAAACCCACACAGACAAGGGCAAATTTTAAACAGACAGTGGCCCAGGCTGGGAATCATTTTTTAAAATCTTTGTTAGAACCTAACATGTTGAACAAAACAACACTATTCAAGGTCTTGCTATACTTACAGTCTATTGGCTGCCTATGTGTTTTTAAACTTAAACTAAAAATTCAGAGCAGGCTGTGCACTGGCCAGTGATTCACAAAGCATCCCTGATGTATAAAATTCTAATATTTCAGAACACAGTTTTCCTGCTTGTAGTGGTCAGTATGATATCTGACCATTTTTACTATCTTTACTCTTCTATCACTAAGAAAATAATTATAATAACTGGAATGGCCAGAGAGCAAAATACGTGCTGGTCACTGCCAAGTTCCTTCCAGGAATTAACGCTCACAAACCATATGTTCTTAAACCCACTGAGAGAAATGAGAACCACAGAGCAGAGGACGATTACTCTTAAAGACAATGCAAATATCAGTTCTATGCTCTTCCCACTTCACTCATACCCTCACTGCCATACCCTCAATAAAAGCTCTGCAAAAATAGACGGAAAACATTCCTATAACACATTAAAACTATCCCAAAGCCAGTTAATTGATTCCTGATGTTCATATTTACTTTAAATTAAACTCAATTCATGTTACAGGATATAAATGACTTTCAAGGAGAATATTTCCAAAAGCCGCGGCATCTTATCTGCTTATTTTATCTTATTTTCTTGCTCTGAAGCCATTTTCAAAGGTAAAATGGAATAAAGACTTCAGGACAGACAGGAATAGTTATAAAGGCTATAATTCTTCTGTGAAGAAAAGAATGCAGCCCCATGGTCATGGTCACAACCAAGCACAGGTCAGTAATACATCAAATGCACCACAACTTTCCTTCATTCCGAAGTATCTTAAAACACGCTGACCTTTTCCAAGAGCCTACTCCTCAGACAACACTAAAATACAGGCAGAGAATAAAAGTTCATGTAATTTTTTCTATAAGGCATGCCAAGTTACAAAAAAGCAAACTTTCATTAATCAAATCTTAAATCATTTTCTTTCAGATCAAGTAAATATTAAGCCACTTGAAATTTCTGCCCATTATTTGATTTCATAATCCATTCGTAATCACAGTGCTTAATAAACACACATGATACGCGAGCAGATCCTACTGTTTGGCACATGTATACACATGCACATATATGTAGGAAAACTTTTTTACATATATTTTGTCAACTACAATTGTTTAAAGATTAAAAGCAGGAATTTAGTATGGCTGAACATGATTTTTCAAAAAAGTAAAGTTTCCATATTTAAGGCAATTCTTAAATCCCTTTAATATTTTAACTGTCTGTATGTAGTCACCTGGGCACAGACCGTAATTAAGCATTTCCGATGGATCCCATTCAGCACAATATTTTGTTTGGTAATATTTTCTTGCATTTTACTGCATACCCATAGGTTTATTAAGTGAGACCTTCAGATCTCAGCGCTCAGTCTGCTACTAAGGTAGCCATTTACCAGCCTGTATGCCGTTCCCATCAATCTGCCAAAGCTTGACTGAGCTTCCAAAAAGCCCATGTCAGCTGTCACTCGGCTGCTCCAAATCCTTCAGAGAACGAGGCCGACTTCCAGAAGGTATTCACATTCCTTGCATATACAACCTTGATAATCTGGACACACTCACGTCTCCTCCCAGTCTATCCCCATGGCACACATGTCCATTCTTAACTCTCATTGCCCCGTAATTCCGTCTCACTCAGCACTCAAACCAGACTGAGCTCAGACTTCTCCGAAACCACATGAGCTTTCACCTGCCCCTAGGCTTTGGTAAGTCCAATCTCCTGTCCGATACTCTTAGCTCCACCTCACCTGAGAAATGAGTAGAATACCCATGATGTGCTGTCATCTCCACAAAGCATTCCCTATCTCCCACGGCTGGGTTGGATGCAATAACTTCTAATGTGGCACCTTTCACTTTGGTTTTAATTATTTGTCTACACTCACCTTTTTTGCCAAACTAGCTAAAAACAAGTACACACACACACACAAACATGCACATACACAAACAGACTGTATAAAATGTTGGTTGAAAGCAAAACACGATAATGTGAAAATAGATGGAAGCAACTTCCTCTGAAGTTCATAGGGTTTGCTAATGTTGAAATGAAAATTGTGCAGTCCTACTACGTACTTCCTGCAGCATTCTGTTGACAATTTGAATATCCCACCCATTCACTGATCAGTCTGATTCTTGTTCCTCTGTCCTCTGTTGCCTTCATCACCCACAAGGATTGCTGGTCTCATACGTGTTATCTCCCATGGCCTTGACCATTTTATCTCTAATTCCTCCTCCAAGCTTCTCAGCCAACCCCCCAGACCAGTAGTGAATAGCAGGATTACAACACAAGCAAGACTGCTTCTGAGTTCCACCTCTGCACTCAGCGTCTGAGTAATGTGGACAGATGACTTAACTGCTCTGTGCCTCAGCTTCCACATCAGTAAAGTGAGACTAGCAAAGATATTTCCTTAAAGACTTTTTGGCAGAACTGAGTTGGTATTTGTTGACAATGCCTTTGAATGGGAAAATTGCAGAGGATGACAAAAAATATCTACGTATATCACATTTTAAGAAAGGAAAAAGCTATATTAAAATTGTAATATTCAATATATATACAAGTAACAAAAGTTGAATGCAAGTCACTGTAATTGCAAAAGTGAAACATGACTTTAGTATTAAATTTTAATACAGATTTTTCCCTTCTTAGAATGTATATGCATTTTTGGCACCCTCTATATGCCTATTATGCCTATAGGCTAAAATCTACTTG